TGCAAACCCTAACTACCGACACTTAATGATTCAAATGGCCCCTTTTTGCAAACCCTAACTACCGACACTTAATGATTCAAATGGCCCCTTTTTGCAAACCCTAACTACCGACACTTAATGATTCAAATGGCCCCTTTTTGCAAACCCTAACTACCGATACTTAATGATTCAAATGGCCCCTTTTTGCAAACCCTAACTACCGACACTTAATGATTCAAATGGCCCCTTTTTGCAAACCCTAACTACCGATACTTAATGATTCAAATGGCCCCTTTTTGCAAACCCTAACTACCGACACTTAATGATTCAATTGGCCCCTTTTTGCAAACCCTAACTACCCACACTTAATGATTCAAATGGCCCCTTTTTGCAAACCCTAACTCCCGACACTTAATGATTCAAATGGCCCCTTTTTGCAAACCCTAACTACCCACACTTAATGATTCAAATGGCCCCTTTTTGCAAACCCTAACTCCCGACACTTAATGATTCAAATGATAACACCACTGCCAGGAACTTACTTATTAGCAGCATCATGAATATGTGGTGAAGCTTGTTCAACCAGTAATGATGAGAACTGTAAGAGTAGGATCCGAACAGCGTCAGACGTGGCAAAGGGGTTATCAGGGTCAATAATTCTATTTATAAACACACTGATGATATTCTCTTCGTTGTCCTGTTCAGGAGCAGGTGGACCCCCTATCAACTTATCACCATCACCATTCTCAAACGAAGCTTGGAAACTTGGTATCAATATCATCTGTAATATCTGAAATATAACATTATTTTTGTAAATCAAGGGCAATAACTCTTGATCTATTTATAAAAATACCATTATCCTCTTTTTACGGAGCAATTTAAGGCGCAATTTTCCATACTTTTATAAAATATTTTGTTTAAACGAAATAATTTATTCATATAAACGAAATAATTTATTCATATAAACGAAATAAGTCATTTGATTAAACAAAATAAGTCATTTGATTAAAACGAAATAATTATTTCGTTAAAATGAAATAGAAAATGTATTTCATTTATTTTGTTTAAATGAAATAATTAATATGTTTAAACGAAATAAGTTATTCGATTAAACGAAATAAGTTAATCGATTAAACGAAATAATTATTTCGTAATAGTAATTTCACCCCCAATCCTACCAATGTGGACAATGCCATTCAGTAGGAAATGAGGGAAATTTAAGATATATTGTATGTGCACAGCTTAGAAAATGGAGTGTTAGTTCGTAGTCTTATCCACCCAAGCTCTTTTTTTAGATTGGAACCATGATCCTTCAGGTCAGTGATATACCTAACTTACCTTCGCTTTTAAATCTTGAGGCCATGTTTGAAGATGAAAAACATAAACAAACTTG